AAGGCACAGCGCAACAACAGACACCAAGTTGAGCGCATTAAATTGAAATAGCGCCAGTCTTCTTCTGATAATTTTGGCTATCCTTGAGAATTCCAGGTAGGGCAGACAGACACACTCACACACACATACAGATAGACACACATACAAGTACATACATACATAGACATGCAGCTCCAATGACAACGGCAACTGGTGCTGGAAACTGAAATTGAAGAAGACGCCGTCTGTGTCTACCAGCGTTTGGCATCAGCATCACCATTGGTATCGGCTTCAGCTTCAACTTTAGCTATAGCTATAGCTTTGGCTGCAATCTTGTGCGGATTTCATGAGGATTAATTAAAATTGCCAATTAAGAATTCATTAAAGCAGCTCAAATTTTTCGCCATTAGTTCGTGCTTTTCTTGCTCTTGTTGTTGCCATTCTTGTAGTTGTTGCTGCCCTCTGCAGTTTTGGTTGCTGTTGCTCATCTGCTTGTCGTTGTCGGTGTTGTTTTTGTTGCTTTATTGTTGTTGTTGTTGTTGTTGCTATATTAAAGCCCATCGTAGCCACCGCCTCGCGCGAGTACACTCTTCCTGTCCCATTTCCTTACAGACTGCTTCTAAACTGTTTAACATCCCCGGAAAAGTAATTTAGCGTTGCGGCAAACAAGCGTAGCATACTTTGCGGCGCCATTGCCGCCGATGTCTGCTTTTTGAGGTTAGCTCTTTCTGATGTTAGAAATTTCTAATTAATTTGCACTGCCGGCAGAACGCGACGCGTTGACATTGGCGGCAAGTGTCGTTGGCATGCAACAGATTTATAACGTTATTTGCTCATTGTTGTTCTTGTTGTTGTTGTTGTTGTTGTTGTTGTAATTATTGTTGTCTGTGCACTGACAGAACAAACAGCTGACAAATCTTTTTGGCAAGTGGAGCATCAGACCAAGCGAGTACGTCGCATATCACGCATACGCCCCGTCGTTAGCTCGCAAGTCAAGTAGACAGGCAGGCAGACCGAAATAAATACTCGATTGCAACAGCAGCCACGACCAGAACCGTCAACAACAACAACAACCAACTATCGCTTCAACTTTGCATTTGGCCAACTCGGGAACTTGCACAATACTTTCAACAGCTGCTGCGTCGGCCGTAAGATCCAAAATATGAGTTAATTAACATTGGCATTTACTAATTAGACACATAAAGTGCACACACACATGCAGCCAGGCATGTACTATATGAGTAAGTGATGGAGAGGGCCTGTGTGCGTGTATGTGTGCGAGTGTGTGTGTGTGTGTGTGTGCTACAAATTAGTGGCAGCTGCACATTATTGGCAAAAATTCAAACAAAACTGGAACGGCAACAATGTCGAAGCTTGACCATGAAATGAACAAGAAGGCAGGCCCATCAACCAACCAACCGTCCAGTCAGGCACTTAACTGTGCAGTGCTACAGTGGCTATAGGTTTTAATATTTTAGATGCTTACCCATACTATTAATTTTTACATGAATTACAAATATTTAATATCAATTTATAGGATAAGAAATCGTTCTTCTATAAAAAAAAACATTTGCAAGTATTAAATCGATTTTATATTGAAAAAAACAATTTATTTATAGAAAACATCGACTCTAAGTGCTCGAAGAAGTTTTATAATTCAAAGTCCTATCCTATGAACTGTGGACAAGCTTAAAGATTCGGCTTAAAATTCAATAAATTCGAATGTATTCAAATAATTTTCTGAATTTAAACTTCCATCCTCGCCTTGTTATGAAGCTTTAAAACTGTACAATCAAAGCTGCACAATAATAAATAAATATACTTACTTTCAGTTCACAGAGCACCAGCACTTACTAGAACTTTACTGAATTTAATGCCATACCAAGAGAATTACAATTGAAAGCTCTGCCATAAGAGAAAGCAGAAAAATGGGTTTTTAAAAGTGTGTTGAGTTTAGTTAGGCCTTCCATTTGCAAAAGGGAGAAAACATTTGAATATTAAAGGAATATCCACCCAAAAATACTCCTCACTGTAGAAGAGACAACTTTTATTTTTCGATGTCCATTTACAAGTATAAGTCTAATATTGACATTTATCAATGTACACCTTTTAGTATAATTGCACATAACGCGGAGCGAATAAATCAAAGAGTGAAGTTGCTTTTGCACCGGCACTTGACTTTAATAAGCCATCGAGCTTTCATAGACATGAGTTTGGTTTTGGAGCCACTGTGCCAAAGTCGTTGGCTCGTTTTGTTTCGTTCGCGTGGTAGAGAAATGTGCTGCCATTAATTGACATGTCACACAAGTCGCTGGCAGCACGGGACTCCACATCAATATGCCAGTCGCGTTTGCTGGACAAGAGGGCAGCGGGAGGCCATGAGTGTGCGGCGTTTGGGGCAATGAGAGGCGCAAGCCAAATGAGCGTGAAACAAATGTGTGTAGGCGGCTTGAAAAGCCTGCTGTTGCGGCCATTGTCTATATTGGTGGCCCAAAAAGAAAAAAGAAACAACAAAAACAGAACAGTAAACGAGGCAATAAAATCAATGATATTCTGTCAAAGGTCATTAAACACAACACCAACAACAATCAGCGGCAGGCAGACGAACAGAAGAGACGAACAAACAGACAGACAGACAGACAGATATAGAGACGGAGGAACAGCCGACATCGAGCCCATGGACGAGCGCACAACAAATTGGCCAATTGGCAATTGACATGCCAGTCATTTGATGTTTGACCGCCACGGCGTATGCGTAATATGTCAGCTACTAAGCACACACACGCACATACATTTAAATATATGGTATATATATATTGCAAAAATATTCGTTTTGTGGTCCATGGTGCAATCAAAAATAAATACAGAGTACACACAAAATCAAATATACTCGTATAAAACGATTAACAAAGCGTTTCAGACCAACTGCCAGAGATTAACATATTTTTAATAAGCTGCTTTACATCAGCGAGTTATGAGTGTGCGTGTGTGTGTCTACAGAACTTGACTTCAAAATGACAAAGGGCCAAATCATATTTTGTTAAAAAGCAAACAGCAGGCAGGCAAGTGGCAGGCTGGCAGGCTGGCAGGAGGAAACTCTCGAGACTGCCGGGCAGGAAGGAAGGAGGAGGCAGGCAGAATTTGGGGAGCCGGCCAGGAAGCACGCATCTGTACACTTCATGTCGAGCTAAATAAAGCAGATAAAGACCGTACAGACAGACAGATTGCCACACAAGGTGTCTGAATACATAGATGTTTGTCTGCATGTGTCTGTGTGTGTGTGTGTGAGAGTGTGTGTGTGTGTGGCTGAGAGTGAAAGTGCCTGCAATACTTATGACACAAATACACGCCTGATGTTAAAACAATGTAAAGTAATACAAAACGTTTTTAAGTCCCTTAGTCCGCACACAGCCGGCAATCACCACCAACACAAATCATTCACAATTTCTACAGTACTCTTCAATCCTCTACAATTGCTCTTCATAGCTTTTTAAAGTGGTCTACAGAAGACACCACAAGTTGACAATTGAGCTTGACGCTTCTTGGCAATAAAAAACTGAAATATATGTATTTTGAATAAAGTGTACTATTATGTATTGTATCTAAGGCATTTAACTTCGTCTAAATTTAACATTATTTAATAAAACAAATTAATAATGAAATAATTTCAAATACACCTTATTCTGTTTTCAGACCGTAGATTGTTTCCCTGAAAAAGTCGTGTAAAAAAAGACATTGATATGCAAAAAAAGTGATTGTTTCCTTATCTCTAAAAACAAGGATTTATGTTTAATTCATTAATTCACATATATAATGTAAGAATTCATTCTAGCTGTTTGTCAGCTGGGTGGGTTTGAATTTATTTATTTTGTGTTATTTTGAATCGTGCTAAAAGGAATAAAGTCGTGTAACAATAAAATTGTATAAAATTTTGAATTGAAATTGAAGTGTAAAAACAGAATTAGGTGTAAACATTTTTTTTCTTTCAGTATACCGGATTGAGCCTCTTTTAATATCAAAATTATAATATTAAAATAGACTTTAAAATACATATATTGCGACTTTTTATGTTGAATTCACAATTCAAATCGACAGAGCAGTTCATGTAAATGATACTTTAAAGCAAAATAGAAGACAAACTTAAATATATTGTCTGGCGCTGACAGTCGGCGACGTTGATGGGAACATTTGCGGGCCTCCACTTCATGGTTGTCTGCCTTGGAAGGCCATGGAACTGCCAGCCTTAGCGCTCTCTGGGTGGAGAGCAGCAGGAAAAGAAAAAGACGCGCACTCGCTCTGAAGAAAGGACGAGAAGCCAACTTCATACACACTTACAAAGGCGGCGACAAATCGACATTTGTTACGTTAAATGCTGATCAAATACACTTCCGCTCGTTTATCTGCGTAAATATTTTAACAGGCGAGCTAACAAGCTTACAACAAGAACAACAATATATGCCAGCCAAAAGGGAAGAAGGCAGGCAGCAGGCAGGCAGGCATCGAAAAGAAATGAAACAGAACTGAGTAAAATGAAATAATGGCAGGGTATGGGGAAGACGCTTGCGGCTCAAACACGACGAGCCAAGTTCTGAGTGTTGAAAACTTTTTCTGGAGCCCGCACTCGGGCGGCGACAATGACGCACACACACTCACACACACACACACACACACACACACACACACACACACACACACACACACACACACACAAGTGCACACACATGCAGACGGCAAACAATTGAATTGTTAAAAAGGGCAAAAATCTGTTGACAGCAACCAAGAGTCGAAATAGACAACAAAAAGGAAATTATTTACATTTAAGGCGAGCACACACAATAGGCACACACACCCCCGCCCCCGCCCCCACTCCCACTGACATACGTACACACACAAAGATACAGTTATCAGGCATTTGAAGTGTCAAGATGTTTTCTACAACAACAACAAAAATTCAAGTCGCACCATTTACCGCCCAAACGAGTGTCAGGAACTTTATTGAAATTGACAGTTTTTCGGCTTACCTCCGCAGGGAATGTGTAGCCCTCGACGCTGTGCTCGGATCCGAATTGATCATTCAGTCCATAGTGTATATGTATCTCATGAAAGCGATAGCGATAGGACAGTGGACCGCCCGAAATGTTTACAGGCATCTGCATTCCATCATAGTTGGCCACCGTATCATTGCCGGCAGTGAAGATGACACTGTGCCCAGTATTGCTAATCAGACCGCTTATCTGTGAGAGAAATAAGGTAACAGTATAGTACATAGTAGACATACATACATACATATGGTAGAGTGGGCCTCTAATTTAAATATATTTAATACATTATTAATAAATATGTAACAATCCTTAATGGGTTGACTATTAAGTAGATGGAAAGGATTTGAGTAATATCAAGCCCAATAATAATAAAGTTCTTATATACTTACATTACATTAAATCTCATCAAACTCAACTATTATTAAATATTCGTGAAAGTCTCAAATATCATTACGATAAATACTTAATCAAAATTATATTTTCACGACTAATCTAATTGTCAAGTAAATAATTTGTGCAGAACATTTATGAATGGAGTATCAGTTCCTAGAAAGGGAAAACCAACAACGTGTTGAAGCTAAACTCTACTGAACATAAAATTAACTTAAGGCCTTAAGTATACACTTAATTTCTCTTTTTTTTTCATAACAATAGGGGTTTGTATCATGAACTCACTCTGTGCTTATCAATGTGCATCGGTCGCAGATTGGGATCGAAGAGCAAACGCTGTGGCTCTAGATTCACTGGAGATTGTCGCCGCCCCTTGTTGCACAGCGACCACTCCGGGTTGATGAGACCCCAAAAGGCAGGACCTGCGGGAGAAGACGCGGCAATTAATTTTTGGAAAGCGAAGGCAGTTCATTTTATTTGCCGCAACAATTTACAGCTCAACATTTTCGGATTCTACAGATTTTTATCGTCTGTATGTGTGGGCTCCTTTTTGTGCTGGCCAAGTTATTGTTTTGATGTCAAATCGTTGGCGTGTGGACGCACACTAGCAGCAGCAACAACAGCAACAACAACAGAAATAGTAGTAATGGCTAGAACGACCCCACAAGATTTATGAACAATTGCGCCACGAGGCGCCACAAACTATGCTAAAGTTTTTGCAGTGCGGAAAATGCAGCCGCAGCATGTAACCTAAAAATGGTTGGACAAGCCAGCAGCAGCAACAAAAAAACAACAACAACAACAGCAACAATAACAACAAAACAAACAACAGCTATAGCAGAAAACTTGCGGTCGAGATGCCACAAAATGTGTGCGGACTCTGTGGGTGGCTCTGAAGCGTTTGGCTGGCAAGTTTTTGCCACTTAAATGAAGCTATTGCAATATTTTCCTTCAGAGGTGTTGGCATTGGTGGGAGCCCTATCCCAAGGGCCAGACGAGAGGACCAATCCCAACTCACAATCACACAGTCACACGTCCAAAGGAGACACCATCACCACTGACTGACTTACCGCCTTAATTTGTGAGGTTTGCATATGTATATATGTATATCTATATATATACATACATACAAGTATATAAGCAAACACCAATCGACAGGGGCGACCACCTGTCCGCCCATTTTGCCCATCGCTGCAACGTTAGAAACTTAATTTATGGCAGAATGGAATCAAGTTAAGCTACAATAAATAAATAAAATTCTATTTTATTTTTGTTCCCATCTGCCAGGCAGAAAGACAAGCAGGCAGACAGACAGACAGACAGCATTCTGAGAGGCCGTTTGTGTTCTTTTTACACAATTCTGGTAGAATTTGCGAGCTTATGCCAGGTATAAATCTATTTGAAGGCACATACGAATTCATGCACTGAAAGCGTTATTTGATACTCTAAAGAAAGCAGTCTGTTAATTTAAGGTTCGCTATTTGCGTTCAAATGGCCATGCATCTCTGAGGAGCAAGCAAGCAAGCGAAGCGCGGCGAACCGAACCGAACCGAACAAAAGCCATGTTCAAAAAACACAAACAAGAACAGAAAAGACAAACGAACTTTTTATCTCAATTTTCCTGCGTCTGCATAAAAAGTAATAAGTAAGTAAAATATTGAGATGGTTTGAGTTGCTTCATTGACTTTGAAATGCTGACAACTGGCAGCTAACAGACTGAACATCAAGGATGGAAGGGAGGAAAGGATGTTTACATTAATCCAAGGAGCATAGCTACAATAAATGTTGAAGACATAACAATTCACAAAAAGAAATTCAAATATCACGTGGCATTGATTTTGCTAAATATGGAAGTGAATAAATTGATAATCCCATCCCAAATAATATGCATTTAAGAAAGCATTTTAAACACTCCTTGCAGTTAATTAGGGGAGTAAACGGCAGATCGACACTATCAATTTTTTGCTCCAGTGCGCAATTTTCGAAACGTCATGGCTTTATGGCCTTCGCCGAATCATATTCAATTAGAGAGGACGCCTGTTTTAAATCAGCACACATCTTTCGACCTCCAACTCATTTGCTCCGCTTGACCAGTATGTAAGAGGAATAATTAAATCAGCAATTAAAGATAATAATACGTTTACCCTCTTCACGCCTCAGAGCCATGCGGGCAATCATTTAATTTTCAGTGTTGAAACCAAGAAGGGTCAGCATTGCAACCACATTATTGGATATTCTTGACTGAAGCGGAAAATGGTATTAAATACATAATTATGGCATGGCTGGCTGATACATAAATCACATAATGCTTGAATTCAGTTTGGTTGGTAAACTGTGGCTGCTTAGCCACAGCTTAAGCCCACCTCAAATCGTATTTGCGATACACATACTCGTACACCACACGCTCTGGCACACCTTGCTTAGCCAACATTTCTCAATATAACAAGCTGCTAACTGTAAACTGTTGACTCTAAGTTGCATTACACACGTCTAGGAGTCTAGGAGTCGAAGAGGCAAGGAAACTTGCTAGATGGCTCGCAAGCATCACATCAACACGTTTAGAGCGCTGGCATTCTTCTTGGTCCCGTTCTAAGCACCGCATGCACTGCAGCATAATATCCGAATACCGGATCCGCAATCAAAAGCTTCAATCATAGATACGCCACGTACACGCGTTCAAGCGATTGTTGACCTCAACGCCATAACAATTTTTAAGGCGTGCATTAAGCCGGCGAACGGAGAAGCACACAGACAGACGGATAGACGAGCGGACGAGCAGACGAGCCAGCTGAGCATGTCGCGACTGTGGCAGTCATCGACTGCAGTCGCAGCAAGTCTATTATATCGGGGATGTAAGCTGGCAAGGCGATGGGAAAGCGGTGGCCACCCGCTGCTATCTGTAAAATGGTTTCCAGTTGAGTCAATGAGGCAATTGCCAAACGATTTTAACAGCCATTAACAACATTAGTGGCAGGCTGGCTGGCTAGCTGGCTGTCAGGCAGGCAGGCGGGCAGGCAGGCTGGCTGGCAGAAGCAACAGTATAGACGAAGGAAGTTGAGATGCGGGAGCTTCGATTTGTACGCCGTGCGCCGTGCGCCGTGCGGTATGCAACGCTGCACGCTTCGCTCGCTTTTATTTGGATCGTTACGCGTGCAAATCACGTTAAACAAGTAGTACGTAGTAGCCTGCTCTTCTCCTCCCTGTTCTTCACCATTCTGTCTGCCACAGTGCCTCCCCAACTACAGACAGGCTGGCTGGCTGCCTGGCTGCATCAACACTCAACAAAACGATGGAGTGGAAAAGCTGCAATTGCGAAAAATTCATTTTCTGTTCTCCCAAGTACTCAAAAGGTGGGAAAAGAATATGTATGCATTTAATTATTACCTTTTTTATTGCAAATTAAAATGAAACTACACAATTTCAATTATATGGGAGCTAACACTGAGTAAATGTAATCATTAGAATGGGAATATTGAATTATTTTCCCCAGAAAATCATACCAAAGAACAGTTCTAGTAAGATCGAAAACCACAACAGCATAATTAAATTTGATTTCTTTCAGAAGAAGCAGTCTTGCAAATTTCAAAACAAGTAGTTATACTCTTAATTCTGAGACTCAATAGACCGTAATGTGTTTTGAATTTTGCAAGAACAAACCAATGCGTGCAAATATTCAACAATTTACCAATGAAGACATGGAGAAGTTTTTCATTTAATTAAACATATTGTATTTAATATTTTTAAATAATTATTTATTTAATTTTTGAGATAATTATCAAAAGAAATAAGGCAATGTTATTATTCATTTTTAGAATCTCTAATAAATATGCTACTTCTATAGAATTCTCTAAATTGTCAGAGCAACTTTAAGACTTTGATAAGAGAGATTTAAGTCCTCGTAGAAGGAATGTAGATATAAATTCACTTGAACTTTATGAACAATATTCTATTTTTTATTTGGTTTTTTTTTCGAGTGAACTTACTTGCCTTATTGGCATGTTATTTTTCTTATTCTTGTTGCTTACTTTGCCTTTTGCCACACTTGCTGCCCATGTTGTTGTTTTTGTTTCCGCTGTTGCTATTGCTGTTTGTTTGGCATATCAGCGCGCAGCTTTGGGCATTAGCTGCGCTTAAAACGCAGAAAAGTATGCAGCAGAAGGCAGAAGGCAAAAGGCAGCAAGCGGCAGACAGCATTTGGCAGTGCATTACATTGCATTGCATTACGCTTACGTTTGCGTTTGCGTTACGTTAGCTTGCCCTGATGTAATGCAATTTCACACACACACACACACACACACACACACACACACTCCTGTGTGTGTACATGCTGACATATGTGCATGTGTATCTACTCGTATACGTGCACAGTGTCGAACAGTGCAATAGAAACTTTATTTTGAACTCACGTATATCTCGGACTCAATTTGGAAATGGTTTTTTATTATTTTCCACAAGTATTTAAGCAATTGTGAGAATTTCTCATTTTCAACTGTTCTAATCGAATTGCTTGCCCTTATTAATGGAAACATTTTAGGTAAATAACTGATGAGTTGTACAATATCAAATTTATTTGATTGCATTTAGCATTTTGTGGAAGTTGGAAGTTCTGGATGATGTGGCAAATTTTGGAACCTATTCAGCTGGCCAATACTGTACCCGTACATCTACATACTCGTCGTATAACCAAAATCGCAGGCAGCTTACGATTATGTAAATGCATGGATGCCAAAAAGACAAAACTTTGTTTGGGATTTTGTTGCAATTTGTTGCAGCGCGGCGAGTCGACAACACGTGTGACAAAACGAAAGGCGCTTATGCATGCAGGCAACAACAACAGCAACAATAACAATAACAATAACAAAAGCAACAACTAGATTGGTGGCATCACCATCACCATCAGCATCAGCATCGGCAACAACAAAAACAAAGGCATCGACAGCAACTACAAAGCGACCGTCTTCATGTTCGTGTTCCTGTTCCTGTTCCTGTTCTATTCTTTCCTTTCTTTTATTTTCTCTCTCTTCCCTACTCTTTTGGGGTTATTTGTCTGTCTGGCAGCTGAAAAATCCAATTCAAAATTCAAAGCACTTGAACTTATTTATGCATTTGTCTTCTGCAAATGGCGCATCGTAGTCTGGAAGCATCCACCTACCCGACCGCTTCCTCTCCCTCTACCCGTGCCTCTACCCATCCCTCTAGTGACTACCTACCGTCAGTCTGGACTCTAATGAGATTAAGACGAACGGCTGGAGCAGCAGCCTGGCCAAGTCGCATCCTTATCGGCTGTCTGCCGGCAGTGTCTGCGCTATAATCTCCACGGACGCAACGGCTTGGCCAACACCCGGGCAGCTGTGAAGGGCCAAGCGAATGGGAAAAGGCACTGGCTGCAGTGGCAACAGCCGCATCTACGGATCAGACAGAGGCTCAGGATCGGGCGCCATTGTCGACTTGTGACACATTACGTATTTTTGTTAGCCAATAGTCTATGTGTGCGTCTCTCTCTGTGTGTGTGTGTGTGTGTGTGTGTGAGTGCGAGTGCTGGCTGTGTCTGCTGTGTGAGCTTATCACGTTTCAACGCTAGACAGTGCTACAAGCAAAGTTCCTTATTCCATACACACACCCACACAGAGAAAGACACACACACACACTGACATTGGTGCTCACTTTGTCTGCTTTTACATTTGACAGCTGCAAAGCTGCTGATGAGGAAGCAGCCATGGAGGCTGTGTATGAAGAATGGTATGAGGGTGCCGGTTCATGCAGTTCACGCATGCAATGGCACTCGCTGGGAAAATTGTTTTACAACAACAAGCAGCTCACAATGCTCGCGGCAGGTGCAAACGGAAACACAAACGCTTTTTAACGCCAAAAACTGTGCTCTGCTCTGCTCTGCTTTTTACCCAACTTTGTTGCACATGCCTGCAACGGCAATGGCCAGCACTGCTGTTACGCCACCTCTGCTGCTGCTGCTGCTGTTGCTGCTGTTGCTGCTACTCGTATTGTTGCTTTTCTTGTTGTTGCTATTTTTGTCGTACTTGTAATGCTGTTTCGTTGGCTTGCCTTTGATTAAAACTTACTTTGTTGCAGGTATTTATGAATAAATGGCCGGAACGTGAGCGCACATCGAAGCCCAAATGCCAAAAAGCTTGACACGAATTTCAGCTTTACGCCACACACGTTAAGTGTGCAGGTGGGAGGAGAAAATATGTATATACAAGTAGAAGATATAGCTGCAGCTTACCCGATATGCCATCATATGTCCACCATTCCTCCCAACTGACTGCGTGTAGAACTGCAAAAAAAAGTGAGACGAAGACATGATTTTTATATACATTTTTTTAAGGTCTTATATTAAAAATATCTTTAGATATTCAATTGGCAAGGTGACATTTATCTTTTGATTATAAAAAATACATTATTAATACACTTTAACAATTGCTAAATGCTAAATATAGTTTAAAGCCAAGTGATAGCAAAGTTTTTTAGGCGCATATTATAGGTGTCTGGGCTGTCAACCTTTGGTCCCTCCTTAAACTAATATAGCTCTTCTATATAGCTTCTTCTTTTTGTATTGCGCTATTCTTCTATTCTATTCTTCCATCCTTTGTGTATCGAAAATCACCAGAAATGGCATTCAGAAAAGAAGTAGTCATGTGCAATTTTTAAACATAAATAAATAAATAAATTAATTAAACATCAACTAGAAAACAAAGTGTCCAGAAAAGCGTTATGCACTCTACCAGGAAGTTGGCAAAGCTCTCCAAAAAAACGTAATAGCTTAGGCAATCGTTGGAGCATAGTCGCCCTCTTTAGCTCGAAATTGCGAATCATGTTCAGTTCTCCACAGCTGACAACTATGGGTTAGTCTTAAGCTGAGGTGCATTGTCTGCACTTTGCTTGAGCAGTGGCACGGGTTTTTGTTTTGTGTGTGTGTGGGAGTTCTAGCCTCCAGTGGCGACCAAAAACGGAACCATTGCCTCTTTTCTGGCACGGCAAATAACAACAACAAAACAAGAAAAACAGCGCTGGGCTGCACACATTTCGCAGTCATAGCAATGGTTGTTTTATATTTATTTTTTGCGGCCCCAAGGCGCTTGCCAAGTCGCTTTGTTGGAGCAGAGTTCTTGTGCTCCATGTACTTTTTGCTCCTTGCCATGTTTTTTTGTGCCTTTAAAGCACAACAGCACTTGAAATGATTTTTGCTTACTTGCCTTTTTAATTTTTTTCCCCTTTCTTAGCGTGCTCACGCTGTAAATTTACTTCCGTCACTTGTTAACTTTAACATTCATCGACACTTTTTGCTTTGGTCTGTGGCTCTTACACACCTACAAACCTGCGAGCCCGCACACATACAAATATATATATATATATATATATATATGTGTGTGTGTGTGTGTAAAGAGAGCGCACATAAAGCACTTTGTTATTTTGACAGCCAACAAAAAGCACGCCAACGCCTTTGCTGCCTGCCTTGCAGCTCGTCATCACCCCTCACCACAACTCCCCAGCTCTCATCCTTCGTCATCAACCTTAGCCTCGTGGCCACCGCCACCGTCGTCACCATCGTCGCCACCATCGTCATCGTCATCGTCATCGTTGCGCTCCAACTCAAATCAAAGTCAAGAAATGTCGAGTCATTAAAAAGCGTTGCCCATTTGCCAGCGTCTCCGCCCTCTGCCTGCCACGCCTCCGCTCGTAGCGCCTACAAAGTGCAGCAGTGCGAGGCGCCAGGACTCGACGCCAAATGCAATGCACTTTTTTGTTGTATCCCTCCATGCGCTTGGCTTTTGCACTCGGCCACATTTCGTTGGCTAAGGAGCATGTTGGGCGCTTTGTATTGATTTTGAAATATTTATACAGCAAGCGGTTGGCACGGGGTGGGGGGCGGAGCGGCTATGGGGGAAAAGGGGTAGCTAAAAAAAACCTTGAAAACTGTTTTTCGTTTTCATGGTATGGCAAATGTTGCGTTTCCGCACTTCGCCAGCAACGAACCTTTGGCCAAACCCGTGCCCTCCTTATGCCGCCGCGTCTACCCTAGCCGCAGGTCCTGGCTGTCGGGCAAGCGTAAAAGGCTTGGCACTTTTCATTTTCATTTTCATTTTTTCCCTTCATATATATACAAGTATATATGTATGTCTGTATTTTTTCAACAATAATAACAATAATAATAATATTGCAAAGTCATGGGCAATGATTGAAATTAATGGATTTCTAAATGTTTTGCGTCACTGCTGCGCCAACAGTCTTCCTTGTGGAGCGGGTTGAGCGCATAGAGAGTTGGAGCTGGAGTGCTGGGAGGCGGAGGGGGGTTTCGGTGAGTGTAAAGTGTAAGGCCTTCTGGCATACATACTCGTACATATGTGCATATAGTACATATGTTGCAGCTGCGCGCGCTTAACCGACAAATTGTTGCGCTACATGGCAAAAATGTTGGCCCCAGCCGCAAGTTTTGGCCATGTTTGTGTCTAATTTACATGACAAAAACAAAAAGAAGCTCAGTTCTAGTGTGATGGTGTGAGTGTTTAGTTTTATGTGACGTTCTCTCTCTCTAGTTTAATTTCATTTTAATGTTTTTGTGTGAAAATCCATTGAGCTGCAATACTTGCGACCAACGACCATTAGCGTCCTGCCAACAATTTTTGCTCGTTTGCCACACTTTTCTTTCGTTGGCATTTGTTTCTATTTTCTCCCCCTTCGCTCTACTCCCCTTCGCTTGCAGGGCCGGCAGGGAATCCTGAGCAAGGACCAGCAACTGCCTTATGTCGCGCTGACCTCTGCTGCAGCTTTCTTTTTTACGCCCCGAACTTTTGCTCGTAGCTGCGCTCACCATTTCAAAGTTATTAGCGTGCAGCTGAGCAACAAATGCATTTAGTTTCGTGTTAAATAGTTAAACTGAAATTAATGATAATGCCCCAAGTGTGTGTGATTGTCGATGTTGGAAGTGGAAGTTGTTAGGCACTCTACCTTCCTAACTTGAAAGACGAAGAAAAAAAAAACTATAGCTGCAACTAAAGCCCGACACATACTACTTGTAAGTATATGTATGTAGGCATTAAATAAATCTATTCAGCTTATAAAAAGCTGTGTCTACTTATTTTGTTGCTGCACTATCAATCGCAACTGATAATAAAGGCTCTTGATCAAATGCTGGACAATGCAAATAGTAATATTCGATATTATAATTGGTTGCGAGAATTGCATCTAAGAGAGTGACTTAAAGTAACTAACGCTTCTTTAGGAAATAGTGTGTAAATGTTGTAGTACTTGTAATTGCATGCAATTTATAATTAAATAAACTATAGTGCTCCTTGTACTAAGAACGATTTAGTTAAAGTAAAGGCGTTATAAACTCCTCCTCCTCCATAATTCTACTAAACAGATATTGGCATGGAAACGTAGACTTAGAAGGAATTACTGCCAAGAGACAGCCAATTTGTTTAAACAAAAAAACAACCTTATGCCGCTCTGCAAGCTTTTGCTCGATTCCAATCAATAGTTCAAGCAAAGGAAGTATTTGTCCAATGTATTGAACGGCGAAAACTTTGGCGGGCAGGCAACTTTATGTTTTTTTTATTAGTATACAAATTACTGAACTATGTTTATTTAAAATAAAATGTTCAAGTTTGTTTAAAAAAGCAATAAAAAATACAGTTTTTCATAAACTATCTATATCCACAAAAAATCATTATTATTAGTATATATATTATATATATATATTAGTCATTAATATTAGTATAGTAGGTCGTATCACTATATTCCTTTATTGATAAGAAAAGAAGATCCCAAATGGGCTGATTCTTACTTATTTTGGGGAAACATTTCAAATGTTATTCAAATAATAGTTAATTTGATTCGGGAGTGGACATAATTTATTATTACTCAGAAAATATTCTACTTGCTTTTAAACAAATTAAAAATTTAATGCCAATTTGGCGTTGTAAATGCTTGCAAAATAAGCAAATGGAGTTGGTCGAATATACTTGTAAAACATTTTATGTATATATTAGCGCATGTGTGCTTTTCCCATGCAACTTTTGAATGCATTCAAACCGTATCTATTTCATCCATATTGGTGAATGGAGGGATGCTTTAAAATGTACGACAAAACAATGTGTTATGTGTTGAGTATTTATATGACAGTCTTTTCAAGCTATTTTTTCGAGCACCGCAAAATGCAATCCTCATCTTGATGCCACTCATTGACGTCACTGAATCGGGAAAATTTGATATGATGAATTCATTTCAACATGAAATGTAGGTGGACTGTGGCAATGAAAGCAAACAAGTTGCAAGCTTTACGGCGATAAATTGTGGCCCTTTGTATCATGGACATAATCAAAATGGTCCAAAAGCTGTAAAGCAAACATGTTGCGTATTATGTTACAACACAAATACAGAGCCGGCATTAGTTAGAACACGGCTTTAACACTAAACGGTAAACGGTGAATGGCAGACGCGTGTAAAAAAACAATCAGCTAAAATGGCAAACAGGAAACGTCGCGTCGCCATGAAAGCGTGGCTGAAACAACGCACACGTCAATCCTTTTGTTTACCTGCAAAACAAATGCAAAGCACGACACAACCACCACCACTCCCACCTGCCCCCCCCCCCCCCCCTCTTTCCATTGGCACTTTCCCGGAAGGCCACGAGGCGTGTTTTTGGGCATGGCCCGGTCATGTTTACGTGTTTTTAAATACGCCGCCGACTACGACGACGCCGCGACATCGAAGTGGATGACGATGACGATGACGACGAGGACGACAACGACAGCGAACAAATAACAACAAAAAACATGAAAATTGAGCGCAAGTAAAGTGTCACCATTAATTTCCGGCGTTGTAAACAAGTCGACGATGGCACGATATACAAACTGAACGGCAGGCGGGCAGCGCCAAACACTAACTACTTACCCGTACATATACCCGCATAGAAGGAAAAATCGAAATTGAAAATCATGAGGCGCACAATGCCTTGGCTTCTGGTCTCCTCGACTGTCCTGCGAGCGTCCTTCCTCCATCGAGCGCTTTATGTGCCGCTTCTAATTGCCAAACAGAGCAGCCACACAGACGGACAATTAGCATGTTGCCCAAACCCAAACCCAAACCCTAACGCTGGCTTAGATCCGGGCCCAGCCCAAGACCCGTGACCGGGCTGCAACAATGTGCGACCAATAACCATAAAGGACGACAAGCTAGCTAACTGACAGACGGACAGGCCGACAGACAGACAGACAGAGAGACAAACAAACAACAGCAGCAACAACAATTACAGCCACGCCGTCTGAATGCCAA